TCTCAAAATAAATAAATAAACTTAAAAAAAAAAAAACTTAAAAATTAACATGAAACAAAAAGAAATTCATAGACTGGAATCCTAATGTATAAACACATACATATGATAAAAGCATTTGGTGAAGTATAATTAGTAATGATTAAATGGGTATTTACTGAGTTACTAATGATCTCCCCTTTGCTAACTGTTTCAAAGAGAAAAAAAAAGTAATTTTACCCTCAAAAATTTTTTAGTTTTATCAAGGAAACAAAATATGCACATAAAAAGCAAAAATAATTCAACTAATTGAAAACAGAACAAAGTCCCTCTTTTCATTAAGCTCTATTAGAGATTTACATCAAACTTAAAATATAGTCTTAACTTCATAAAAGCGTTTTTCTTCTTCACCAGTAAACTTTTAGTATGAAATATAAGGATTTTCTATAGGCAAAAATGGATCAAAAATATTAAATATAAATAAAATATTATGATATTTTATTTCACTTCATTCTAAGTTTTAAAATTCTAAGCAGAAGCACAACACAAATCAGGCAATATCCCAATTTTGCTGGGGAGTAACCAAAAGAAAATATAAACCAGCTTTTCTCTGCAGTGTCTTATGGCCAAAATATTGGCAGAGGGAGCCACCTTTAAAATACTCTCATTTTAGGGGCGCCTGGGTGGCGCAGTCGGTTAAGCGTCCGACTTCAGCCAGGTCACGATCTCGCGGTCCGTGAGTTCGAGCCCCGCGTCAGGCTCTGGGCTGATGGCTCAGAGCCTGGAGCCTGTTTCCGATTCTGTGTCTCCCTCTCTCTCTGCCCCTCCCCCATTCATGCTGTCTCTCTCTGTCCCAAAAATAAATGTTGAAAAAAAAAAAAATTAAACAAATAAAATACTCTCATTTTACATATTTTCAGAGTATCATTTCTTCAGAAGATTATGTTACTACTAAACTGTTAGCATAAAAATTGTATAGTTCCACTTCTCTCCGCAAAACAAATCTAGAAAAAAACAAAACAGGGCCCACGTTTCCTTTTCACAATTAAAGTTTACCTTTTGTCAAATTTTGAAAACAACACAAAAGTTCTCAAAGTTCTCACTCTCTACTTTTGTTTCAAATACATATACATTTTTTAATGAATTGTCAATTTATAAAAACCTTTAAAACTTGAGACATTATTTCATGTAACTCCATAGATAGAAACACAAGCCTTTTGAATGGACAAGAACATATTTTATATATAGGCTATCTGATTAAATCAAATATTTATGAGATGGTTATGAAATTGTGCAGCAATTTTGTTCATATGTTATTTCCATAAAAGATTATTTTTTTTTCATGATTTGAAATTCAAGTTGTATTATAGTTGGTAAGAGTAAAAATAAATGAAAACATTAAAAATGAAGAAAGCTATTGCCTGAGTCACCTAACACATACTAAAAAAGTTAGGTCTCAGAACATGGGTTTTTTTTTTCTTAACCTAAGTAATGGGTACATAGGTATCCATCTTCTGTTGTTGTTCTTTAAACTCTTTTTATGTATTTTTCACTATATGCATGTATGCTACATTTCTCAATAAACTTTTTTAACTGAAGGATATCATTCCAAACTTTGGGGCTGTCTCTGGTTTTACCAGTAATTTCTCCCAATCTTCTAAACTGCCAATTTCGAAACTAGTTTCTTAAATACTCTAGTTCTTTACATAGAAGATACTACACAAAGAACACAAGTATTGCATCAGCGACCACATAGGTGTGTCTGGTCTCTAGCCGGTTTGGCAATTAATAAAGAGTCCTTATTAAAGATAGTGATATTGGGGCGCCTGGGTGGCGCAGTCGGTTAAGCGTCCGACTTCAGCCAGGTCACGATCTCGCGGTCCGGGAGTTCAAGCCCCGCGTCGGGCTCTGGGCTGATGGCTCAGAGCCTGGAGCCTGTTTCCGATTCTGTGTCTCCCTCTCTCTCTGCCCCTCCCCCGTTCATGCTCTGTCTCTCTCTGTCCCAAAAATAAATAAACGTTGAAGAAAAAAAAATAAAGATAGTGATATTTCTTAAAAATCAATGTATAACCAGAAACTACATAATAAAGAGTTAGAAATGCAGCTCCTGCCTCCAGTAAATAAAAAAATTCTTATGGGCAGGACTGCATATTATTCATAGCCTTTAGCACACAGAGGCTTACATTTAATATTTGTGGAACTAAATGACCCCTAATGTGGTTATTACTGTGTAGGGATACAGTACCTAACCATCATTTTCTAAACTAAATATAAGATCTCTGTCTGCAAAATAGAAAAAGTTTATTCCACTGTTGGTTTTCTAGGAAATGCCAGGTCCAGGATATGTAGTTACAAATGCGCAAAGGTATGATTTTCTTTTCATGTTTACAAAATGGGTTTGCATACAACACAATTTCTATTGTTTCATTAATAAAAATATTAACTTTTTAATAAGTGAAGTTAAGTAATAAATAGTAAGACATTACCTATCAATAATATGCGCAGTTGGTAATACATATCTTACAAGGAGCTCGTTAGCAACAGCCTTCGTTCTTTAACTATGTAACAAGATTTCTCTCACAAGAGGAATCTTAAGGCAGGCTTGGCCTGTTACAATCTCTTTCTCAGGATGAGAGGCAATTTACCCAGTGATACTGAAGTGAATACTTAGTAACTATTTGTGGCAAACTTAAATGGGGAACCTGAGATTTGACCTATTTTGCCTCACCTTCCCTTCTTCACCTTCCAAAGGAGGATATTGGTTTTCAGTGTGCTATAGCTCTGTGTACCAGGCAACAAAGTGAAACTATCTGCCCTGGGACTGCTATTTTGGATTTGCTTAGTTCTTTCTATTCTCCCTTCTTTTACACACACACACGCACCCTGCGCCCGCTCTCTCTCTCTCTCTCTCTCTCTCTCTCTCTCTCTCTCAGAGGTTTATGTGATAAAAGGAACCTGGGATTTTGCCTTTATCTTGTCCCATTTGAAGAAGATCAAATACAGTAGGGCTCAGGGTTCCTTGGGCCTGCCTCCAGTCTAGGGAAAATAAGCTCATAAGATCACTTGTCAGGTCAGTTCACAAAACTGAAAGGCCTACATAAGACAGTCAGAGTCAAATACAATATATCCAGTTTGCTCTATGCATGCTTTGCTCCTGGGGATGTCAGATACAGAACAGAAACCCAATGGCAAATTCAACTGAGGCAAAGGTCCTGATCTTTTCCATATTTACCATGACTTCAGCATTTTAAAAAGTGCCCCCCAAAACTTGATAAGGACTTCAATGGCTATTTTCAAAAACTAAATTTGCCTGTATTTTCCACAATATTCTATTTAGGGAAAAGAACAAAGAGTTAAACTAGAAAATAAGGAATAAGGCTTACAAAATCATTAGCATTTTTAATTATTCTTGTGGGATAATAAAATCAATAAACAATATATCTTCTCTCTTGTAAGGAGCCTGTTCTATCCTCATCTATTACTTCTCCAATATCTAACAACACAAAGGCAATTGACATAGATGCCATGAGATCTATTATCTCCTTACTTTAAATCATTACAAAATTAAACATACATATGACTAACATTTTTTCTCTCCTTCCCCAATCCTATCCTTCTTCCACTACTAACTCTCCCTTCTTTTCTCTCCTCTCTTCACACTTCCTTGTCTGTGCCACAGAAGAGTACCACAAAAACTCGAGGGCACTGCTTAAGCCTACTAGGTTTGCTGACCTCAAGTTTAGAAATCATATTCTAGAAACTTGGTAATAGCCTATTATGTATACGTCATCCCAATTCTAAATTCTAAGACCAAATTAGACAAGAGTTCAGTGCTAAGGAGATGATAAAGTATCAGCCACTATGAAAATACTATAGTGTCTGAAAGTATATGTGTACGAACAAGGGTTGAGATTCAGGTTCTGTGTAAGGATGTAGTTAAACAGTCAGCATTTTGGATCTGTTCCAGAATCGTAAGGCAATGGAAAAGTTCTGAGGAATTTACGATTTTATAAACTGTATTCATGACAAAACGTATGTTTAAAACTTGTTGTAAAGGATATTTTGCTGTCCTGCCAGAGTTAGACCAGTGGAATGAGCTCATAACCAAGCCACTGGAAAAGGGAAAGAGAAGAAAGGTCCTGACATCCAAGATCAAATGTGTTACTCTCTCCAACTGTTTTTTTCAAGTTCTGCAAAGGATCAAATAGTTCCCCTCCCTGCACAGGAAATAAGCTAGCTTTTCTCTTAAAAGCCATATGTAACCCGTTTTACCATCTGCTGGATTTATTTAATACAGAAAATTAACACAAATGCATACTTAATAACAATTAGCCCGAGGGAGGTGGTAAACAACAAAAAAAAAGTCAGAAAGATTCTATTTAAGACTGTCCAAACATGACTTGATTTTCAAGTTTTGGTTTCTCTTGAGACTGTCATTATATAACCTACCTTTCGAGCTTTATCACATGCCACCATACACACACCTCTTCATACAGCCAAAATGAACTTTTAGTTTCTCAAATCCTTCAGGTTTTTCTCTTTGTTCCTCACGTCTATATATGTGACCCCTCACCTGTTACACTTTTCTCTTCCGCAGAGTAACTCCTAGTCATCTCCTTTAATACTTACGCTACATAAAATACTCTTACTGTTTGCTTGCACAGCATTTATATTCTTTTTCCCCCCACGTAATTACTCGTTTAACCGACGTTGCCACAGGATTTTGGAAAGCAAGGCCTTTGCAACGCTTAGAATGGTGCTTGACAAATAATAAAAGACAATAATAATTTGGCAAACAAGTATTAAGAATCCATAATGCCTTAGGAGGCTTAAGAATCTGTCCACAAAAGAACTATCCACTTTCTTATTCCCGTCACTCACCCTGTTTCAACTCCATTCTTGCAAGCTGGTTTCTCTTCCTGAAATGCAACTATTAACTACTTCTCTTTCAGATCCGGCAAGGGGAGATCAAGAAAGGATCAGCTGTTTTCCTGCTATGCTCCTCCCTCTCCCAGTAGACTTCACGATTACATCTTCCCCCGAAGCTTATTTCCTCCAATAGAGTGCAAAGTTTCACAAGAGGGGTCCTCTGTTATTCTTGCCCAGGCCATTTATCTCTATATCTCTAGCACCTAGAGCCAACAGTTGGTAAACAGGAGGTTCTCAGAGTTGGAAAAGAAAGGGAGTAGGGGGGGTTGATACACTTTTTTTCTCAAGGTCCCATAAGCCCTTTAAATACGTAATTTAAGTAACCAGTGGTTTTAATCCCCTACATTTGTGACCCTGGTGTGTGGTGTAGCATTAAAAGGATTCTCGAGGCTCAAAAGTATTTTAGAATTAAAGAACCCTTACCAAAAATGATTTGGACATTTTTCTGTTGTTACTGAAAAGTCGGCTGGACGAAACAAATGTCTTAATTAAGCAAAATAATTTAATACACAGGACAAATCCAGAAGTCCTAGGGAACATCACCCACCCTGTCTATGCCTGAAAAGTATTTAGAATTTAAACTAGTGCGTTGAAATCATGTCTCCCCGTTCTTTTGAAAATGCTAATGTAGGCTATTTTGCCACAACCCTTAGAAAAGTTTTACTCTTCCCAAGTGCCCTCCTTCACCTCGCAAAGTCCGTCAGCGGCGCTCGGCACTGCGTCCCCACGCCCAGCAGAGGGCAGTGGACCTCCGCGATAACGTCACTAGGAACGCGCCGGTGAGCCCGGGCGGGTCCCCGCTTGTAATTCGTACCGAGAAGCGTTAAAGCCCATGACACAGCGACAAGCTAGAGTCCTGTCCTAGATGACACTTAAAGGGCAGCCCCTACAGCCACGCAGTCCAGTGCGCCTGGAAGCAGGCAACCTCCTTTTCCGCTCCCCCACGACCCTCTTCCGCTTTCCGCCCCCTTTATCCGCTCCGCCGTGACCCTTTCCCTCTTGCCGGAACCTCCCCTTGGTTCCGCCTCAGGCCCTCCCTTTACCGCCGTCCTTCCTCTTCTCGTTTTCTTTAGGCTCTTCCGCATCCCTTCTCTCTCACGCGCGCCTTTTTCCATTTTCCTGCGGGAGAATCCCGGAAATCCCGCCCCGCCAGGAAGCGCCCCATTTTCCCGGCGTGGTGGCGGGCTTGAGTGGGCCCTCTCTTAGGTCCTGAGCGAGCCGGAGGCTAATGGACCTGCTACGCGCTTTCGGTTCCGAGACACAGCGTTAAGAGTTGGTGCAGCTGAGGGGCGCCCTGTGGCTCAGTCGGTTAAGCGACCAACTTCAGCTCGGGTCATGATCTCGCCATCTGTGAGTTCGAGTCCCCTGTCGGGCTTTGTGCTGACCGCTCAGAGCCTGGAGCCTGTTTCAGATTCTGTCTTCCTCTGCTCCTCCCCTGCTCACGTTCTGTCTTTGAAAAATAATAAACCTTGAAAAAAATTAAAAAAAAAAAAGTTGGTGCAGCCCAGCCCACAAACTCCACATTTTCAGTCTCCCCATAGGCATGGGAAGAGTGGAAGAGAAAGAAAGCCGGTTTAGGGAATTTGGAAAGAAGGGGAGAGAGAGGAAGGTACCAAAAGGTGTTACTTCTTAAACATCCTTTATGGGTTATTGAGCGGGGAAAACGTTTCTGTTCTTTTTTTTTTTTTTTTTTTTTTTTTTTTTTTTTTTTTAATGAATACTCAACATATCCCCTGCTCGTGACATGGCCTTCATAAAGCTCAACAAATTTAGCATTCTGTGCTATTACCTGTCATATGGCCCAGACAGGATGTTCTTTGGAAGACACCTTAAAGGGAAAGCCATTTTTCACCCGGATAGGGATCATTTTGTCAAACAGGAGGAACTGAAGGTAGATCTTAGTAAATAAGGGAACAGTCTGGTGAACGGAACAGAATGTACGAAGAAGCCGAGAAGATAAGCAAGTTTTAAGGTATGGAGATGTGGAGGTAGGGAAGAAGTGGGAACCTGTAATGCCTGAAGTTCCAAACCTCCCACAAAAGACCACCAGAGTCGTAAGTCAAAGCCAAGCAGCAAGGGTTGTTTATTGCAGGTTCGAACCTGGACCTCTGCGCACTCGTTGCCGGTGACGCTAAGAGGCCTTGATCAGGGTTGGTACAGCGTTTTTATAGACAGAGACAAATAGCACAGGGGAGGTTTCAAATTATGAGGGGCCTGATTAGTTGATTTTAAAGTAAGGACATTTGTTGTTCTCTGATTGGGCGTCCTTTGTCCTTTGGCGGGAAGGCTTTGTCCGTTACTTGTGGCGGGAGGAAAGAAGGGGGAAGGGGGAAGGGGGTAGGTGAGGAATGTGCTAAGCAAACAGGTTTACAGAAGCGAAAAATGCCGGTTAGTTTATGTACAATCACTCATTCCATTACATAT